GAGCTTGATGGCCGCTTGATTACCTTCAAGCCTTTAAGACCCCAGACGCTATACTTTTTGATAGCCAGGCACCATCAGCTTTCTCCGCCACATGTGTAAACAAGCGGCCATCTAGCTCAGAAGCAACAAAGCCCACATGGAAGAGCATATCAGCCTGTGTGATCACGAGGTGTTGAAGGGATCACTGAAGACATTGGGTGCATAAGCTCACCTTCTTTGGCTGCAATCGCATGGGGTTTTAGCACCTACAGACCTGGCTCAGGGTTTGCCTAACCCTATCCTTTGAGTCTCACACTTCTCTCAGTTTATCAGTCTCTTTCTGCAGAAAATCAATATGCCCAAGCCTACCATACATCTCTCTTAGGAGGCTAGAGGAAAGAGACTGTTTTCTTGACTATGCAAAAGCTTTCAACTGTGTGGATCATAACAAATTATGGGTCACACTGAGAAGAATGGCAACCCTAGAACACTTCATTGTGTTCATGGGAACCTGTGCGTGGATGGAGGGGCATCCGTGCAAGCAGAGCAAGGGAAGACTGCATGGATCAGCATCAGGGCTGGATCTTCTCACCATACATATGCAATCTATACGATCAGCAAATAATATGAGAAGCTGAACTATATGAACAAGAATGTGACATCAGGATGAGAGGAAGGCTGATTAACAACCTGATATGTACAGATGACACACCTTGCCTGCTGAAAGCACGAAGTACAGGAAGCACTTGCTGTGAAGATTAAGAACTGCAGCCTTAAGCATGGAGTAGAACTCAATGTCCAGAAAACTCAAATCCTCACCAAATGACAACATCATAACAAGCAGAGAAAATATTGAAGTCGTCAAGGATTGCATTTGCTTGAATTCACACTCACTACTCACGGAAGCAGCAGTCCATAAATCATATGGTTGTATGGTGTTTATCAGGTGCACAAACTCTCTTTCACAATGTTGAAGAGCAAGGAAGGACGTCATTTGGAAGACTATGGTGCACCTGTCCCGAGCCATGGTATTTTCAATGTCCTCATATGCATGTGAAAGTTGAACAATGAAGGAGGAAGACGGAAAAAAGACGTGCTGCATTTGCGTGCCCGTGCCTCTGAAGAACACTGACAAACAGATCTATCTTGGAAGAACAACAGAAACCATAACAATAATTTTTAATTTATCAAGGGGTCACTGGTGGGGGCGGGGAGGAAAAGCGAGCTGATGCCAAGGACTCAAATGGAAAGTAAGTGCTTAGAAAATAATGATGGCGAAGCTGGGGGGCTGCCGGTGGTGCCGCTGTCCAGCCAGGACACCTTTGGCCCTGACCCTGTGGGGCGCTGGGCTAGTGAGCCTGGGCTCCCTGTGGAGAGGCGGGGACAATGGCAAGGAGAGAGGCTCCCTCAGGCCCTGGGCCGGGGCTCTGCGCAACTCCCTTGGGAGAGCGGGGCGCAGTCGCCAGTTGGCCTTACATAAGCGCCTAGCCAGACGAGGGTGCTCCCCGCTTTCCTCCGGGCCCAGGAAATACGTCTGAAAGACCATGTGCCTGACCCTGTATTAGGTACCAAAGCTCCATCATAAGCAGGATGAGGTCTCTACCCATGAAGAGTAAATCAGACAGGGTGACAGATTAACAAGCAGGCTGAGACGAAAAGCCGTGATGTAGTCTTCTCTCTTCTCATCCCTGTGCAACCGCGGAAGAGACTCTGCAGCCAAAAGATGGCGGAGCCACCATGAATGCGCCCAAACAAGACCAAGATAAGAGCATTGCTAAGAGAACTTGTCTACAGCCATGCACGGAGTGCAGAGACGGATTGAAACACGTTTTATCCAGGATGTGTAGCAGTACTCTTGGCTTCCCCGCTTTTGGAAAGATTGACCGGATCTCTGACTCCCTCACATGGGGCCTCCCTGGTTCCCCAGACAGATGGGGGTGTTTCTGTCCCCTTGCCCCTCTGTGCTTTGTACACACAGTGTCAGTGCGGCCTTTGGACTTCACATCTGTCCCAGTTGGTATAACTCTCTTCCCACAACCCTTTCATCTCCTTAGAGCCAGGCTCATGGTATGTTTAGCTATCCCCAGCTCCTAATCTATTGCTGGTTGTCCATAAATGTGTGTAGTATTAATAAATGAATGAATGAATGAATGCAACAACAAAAAAAGAAAATAATGATGGCAACAAATGTGCAAATTTGCTTGACACAATTCATGTATGGATTGTTATAAGAGCTGTAAGAACCCACAATAAAATGGTCTTTTAATAATGAGTAGAGCCAGAATGTCCCCTAGCAGCGAGGATGGTGTGATTTCATCTCATGTGCTTTAAACGTCTAATCAGACAGTCCAATCCTTAGAAAAGGATGGACTAACACAGTGATGGGAACAGTGGACTCAAACATAATGATGATTATGCGGATGGCACTAGACTGGCAGTGTTTTGTTCTGTTTAAATAGGGTCACTGAGTCAGAACCAACTTGCTGGCACCAAACAACAACACCAAAACGGAGATGCTGGGAATTTGTCCTATAACTCCTTGCTTCATTTCCCATCTCTTTTGCAAAGTGAAAAAGTGCTCTTAGGTGGGGTGTGGTACTGAGGAAAGCAAGCTGTTCTTTGTTATTTCGATGACTTTCAACCCATAGTGACCTCACATGACAGAGTAGAACTGCCTCACAGGGTCGAAAGCAGCCTTGGCTGGTCAGTTATTCAGTGTCCAGCTGCTCAGTAGCTAAATGTTCATTGGTTCAAACCCACCAGTAACTCAAGGGGAGAAAGATGTAACAATCCATTTGCATAAACATTACAGGAATTGACACCAACAGATGACTGCTGCTGTCTGAGGGAGTTTATTGTGCCAACCTGGCCGATAAGCACATGTGGGGTTCATTGAAGGCGGAGAGATAAATGGCTCAGTGAGCTGCCTTTCTAGTTCTCGGGTCTCTTGCTTTGTGATGGTCGCACCAGGGTGCAGCTGCCTCAGCCAGTTCTCTGCTTCAGCTTGCAAGGCTCACTTCCTGCAAGACATCCCCAAGGAGAAGCCACATGGACCTAAGTCCGCAATGCAGCCCTGGGTGCTGGAGCAGCCGTGTGGAGACCCCTGCCAGCGCTGAGATGTTTACACATTCACTAACTCGGCTTTCCCCTGCAGTCGGCATCATTGCATCTGCTTCATGAGATGGAGGAGGACTTTATTGATTGGTGTTGGACATATGGGTCAATGGGTTAATGTTGGATTTGTGGGATTGGGCAGCACTGGGTTGGGATGTTTTATTGGTGCGCACTTAACCTTTATATAAATCTCTCTCTCATACATGAGTTTCTGTAAAGCTCCCAGACTACCACACTGTCGGATGCTGTCCAGTCGGTTCCGGCACATGGCGACCCTATGGGTGCGCCTCCATGTGGGCAGATGATGGAGCCTTTCTTATGGGGAGCTACTGGGTGGGTTCACGCGGGAGGACAAGTAAACAGAAGTGCTTGCTTTCACTCATGTAAATGCAACTAAAAGTTTCTTAGCAATTTCAGATGTGCTTAGACATTAAGACAAGTTGAAAATTCATCTTGGGTCAAACTATCATATTTTTTCTTTGATTTTTCAAAAAAGCCCAGAATCAACAAATTGGTCTATTATCTTTTTCTTTGCTGCCAGGCTAATTTTGTATAGGTGTAAGTATACGGCGACACAGGATCGGGCTGTTTGGGGCTCTGGTGGGCACAGGGCCCCTTTGAGTCAGAACAGACTCCAAGACACCTCACAGCGCCCACCACACACTCACTGCGATCAGATAACAACACAAACCAGAGTGTGAGATCTTATTACTCAGCAAAGACTTTTTTGCAGGGAAACAGCATT